TCACAATGATCAAAAGAATTACTAATGTTATTAGAATTAGTACTTGTATGTACATTGTAGCAATAGATGATTTTAAAAGGACAACTGGTATGTATGTTTTTATAAAGCATCTTGTTAAAATTAAATTATGGAACATTGAACTAAATTTTGGACAGTTTATAAGATTATCAAATAGTTTATGCAAACATAAAAGTGAAGCCATGAAGCTACCATTTCGCAAGCCGAGGCAGAAACTGACTTCAAAACGCGCCGCGACAGCAAGGGAGACCTAAACGGGTCTCTTCACGTCTGAACACATGTAATCATATGAAACACATTTCGGTAGAAGCGACCGACGACATCAAATTTAGTATGGCAATATTTGCCGCCTTACTTCTGTCTCGGTCTCGCGTCGCTTGTCGCGCGTTGCCAAATGGTACCTTAAATCTTCTGCTTCCGAACCAAGGAGACACATGTCTAATTTTAGATTTATTTGAAAATATAATAGCATATTTTCACAATAATCACTCATTTATAATTATATTTAATATCAATAACTAAAACATATACTGACAATTAGTTAGATAGAATTGTCACTCATTTAAAATTTAACAAAATAATAATATTCTGGTGACCAAATATGAACTGTGATTATTGAATTTCATATCTGTACCGTGTTCTTCATAGAATGGATAAATATATTCGTTCAATGGACCAGTTTTTCGTTCTGAAGTCTGTGCGTAGAATAAATCATACACATGTGGGTGTAGAAAAATCATAACGTATTCAATCGAATTAGCTCAACAGTTATTTTATTATTTGAAACAGTATACACCTATAGTATTTTTAATACAAATCCCGATGCACGTCAGCAATGACGTCGGTCATTCGTCATAATACTACCAACTAATTAAAATGTCCCTAACTTAGCTAATAATCCGAAAATGTCAGGAATATTTACGAGGATTCATAAACGTAGTCATATTTCTAAAAAACCGAAAAATGTAATGGGGATTATTTTGATAATTTTTATAATTATTTCAATTAATTAGCTTTTACACGTCCTATTTTTGATAATATCAAATTTATATTAATATTATTACATGATTAGTATCCCAAAAACCATACTTTATATTAAATAATTTTGACATTCTGTACGCCAATGAAACTCGTATTTATATAGACGAAATGTCATTACGGCAGTTGGTATACCTTGTTGCTGTGTTGCCATTAGCTTTTTAAAACAATTCACTGTTTAGGTTTTAGGTTATGTTTACCAGTTGATTTTCAAAATAAACCTAATTAGTTAATGCTGATTATTTTTTTTTTTATTTCTACATACAAAATACCAAAAAACTAAATAGTCGTTGTAAGGAGCATGTATCTTCGTTATATAGTATTTTGAATGAGAGTCTAATAAAATGATGTATCTTAATTACCTTCAACTGCTGTAAAAGTGTATGAGAAGTAAGTTAAAAATTCTAGAAATGTATATATGAAATTGATTTATTATATGTTTTAGCGTGTTGCAGCAACCCCAAATATTTCTACTGTCAGTAGTATTTTGCAAGCAGTCAAGAACAATAAATAAATAAAATTGCCACTTAAAAAGCGTTCATATAAACAAAGGATCACTAACACAATAACTCAGAAATGTATGTATGCATAAAGATAAATCTATTTATCCTATCAATCATATATTCCTAATAAAAGTTTAATTTGTATACCTATCTACAGTAATATAAATACATTCTTATTTGCAGTATAATGTATAACTTTGGAACCTTTTGGAGAAAAGTCGATTGAGAAGCAAATGTTTAATGGCTATATTGAACTGAATTGAGAAAAGAAAAGAAATTAGAGAAATGCAAAAGAAGCAGCTTCATACCAGTTCGTTTTCATTTATGAAACATGTATTTTTCAAAAGGGAAAAATAAACCGCTCTTGGCAAAAAACTAATAAATTTCAAGTAAATAAAGGTTCACTAATCGTGATGTTCTTGCATTTCCTGAGTAAAAAAACTTGTTCGGTATGTTTATTTCTCTTATCATGTGCCAAAATTGAGATATTCTAAACTGTAATATTGAAGCGACATATTATATTGAATATTTAATAATAGGTATGCTATAATTTGTTTAGAGTTGTCAATTAAATTCTACACGTTTTTAGCATTCTCAAGATGTACAGTAAAACCCAAAAATGCTTTTTTTTAGAAATAAACTTTAAAATAATTAATAATGAAGTTACAAGATTTGCTATAACAGTGTACCTACCTACCAACCATTAAATCTTAGATCAATGATGTCATTTAGATATTACAATTTGGAATATTGAAATAGTGACACATTATATGAAAATAAAACAATCTTTTTTCAGGTACAAATAACTAAAGAAACATATGGTGGATAAGTTAGCAGAACAATATGGCATTGTGTTTCTAACCCCAATAAACTTATTTGAGGCAATATTATAATAAACATATTAGCAGAAAGGGAGTTTTCGATAGATTGGAAATGATTCCTATTATAATTAAACCTAAAAGCAATAGTGATGATAGCAATTCAAGTACTTACTTGCGTTTAGGATTAGGAGAAATGATATAATTTTTGTAGGAATTACGAAGATTAGTAGATGAGAAAAAATATATTTTTTAAATAAAACATTGTCCTATTTTAATAACAATAAATAGTTTGATATATTTCTTATATTTTCTGTATTTTTATTTTTTCTAAAATATATATAAAAAATAATAGACTCAAAGGTTTCGCTATGCGAGTCTTACAACAAAATAATATTTACAATGATTTGAAAAAGACTAGTACCAATAAACAAATAAAATTAAGATTTTTTTTATAAAATAGGTATCGAGTAGATATTATAGCAAAAAGTAAAATATTTCACAGTTTTGCAGTGCTAAAGAATTCACTGAGCAAAACAGTTTTCAAATGTCTATTAAAACTGGTAAGGTGGAGAATCCTGATGTTTCAGTGATGGTACTACTATTCATACATGTTTAAATAGCTTTAGAGATGATGGGAATCAGCGATAACAGTCTATAGTTAAAGCACTTCTGACTATCTTAAATACACAAAACTGTTACTGAAAATGAAATTTACTAAAGTACCTACATAAATATTTTAATTTCATTCTTGTATTTAAATATTTTAACAATTTCAATCTTGAATTCTTTAAGTACAGATATCTACTGATATTGTGACTTCTCCACATTCCTTTGTAGATTTAATTTTTTCAATTTCATGGGGTGTTGTTTTATAACTAAAATGTAGTTCTGTTAAATAAATTTTTTGGTGAAATGAAAATAGTTTGAGATATTTCTGTGGTAATTCTGGACCAATTTTTGTTCATCTGCAATAGGCATATACTACCTTACAGTTCTATTTTCTATGACTATTTGCAATATGTTTACATCATTTTTATTCAAATGTTTATTATGCACAAAGGAAATCAATATTTTCCAATAGTTATGTACATTTAAAATTAATAATTTTTTTTAGTAACAAAAAGAAAACATAACCTTTCAATTTCAAAACTTTCTAAATTCCTCAACTATTCTGACGATTCGACAACACTGCAAGGCCGTGACGTCATAATTGATCTCTGACGTGCATCGGGATTTGTATTAAAAATACTATAGAACACTTTATTAAGACTCCTGGAATATATTTGCACTGTCCACTGTTCCCAGCTTAAAACGAACATTGCCATTTGTCAATTTCTACATCTTGTGAATAAGAACTGGCCTACAACAATATGGGGATCTGAATTTATTGCACTACTTTGGAGAACAACTGCATAAACAGATATATGTTAATCACTAAATTCATTTTTCCCACATAAAAACTATATAGCCTGTTTCTCAATAAAAGTCCTACAATTTTCATTTCCACCAATATACTTCATAAGTTCTATTAAATTTAACCCTATTTCAGACATCTCATTAAAAATAGAATAAATATATTAATATTTTATTAGAAGATAACATAAATATCTTAAATTAACATAAATAAATGAAAGTAACCCAGAAACAAAATTAATAGAGGGATACTTACCAAATAAAAATATATCTTCTACTTTAACCTAAAAGTTATTGAAATAAAAGTGTCTAATCACTAAAAATAAACAATAATAATGTTTTCCCACAATTTAAACAAAATACTTTTTATGGGCTGTTTACAAACTCAAAAATGTAAACAATAACCTACTCGACCATTTACTGTTGGGTTCTAATTAACAGTGCTGTTCCTAAAGTAGCGCTGGGAAACAGTAAAAAAGCCTACACAGAACACGAGGTTAATGACCTTAGCAGTCTATGCCGATGACACCAAATCAAAAAAACAATAACAAGCCACAATATTTAGTTTAAATGTCAAGTACAGACGGCGCTGAGATCTTAATTTTAGATTCCAATAAAAAATCAATAAAAAATGAATAAAAGACTTGAGTTTGAAGCTGAGAAACAAGATAATCAATATTGGAGTCAATATCACTAGTACATAGGCGCAAAGTGTTTTCTAAATTTGTCTTACAGATGTAAGAAGAGTACGATGCTTATTTTTATTAATTTTCATGATTGAAAAAAGCTGCTCTCATTTATGGGAATTAACAAATGTGCTAATTATTTTTTGTACGAAAACTCTCAGCTGTGGATACTTTGTTTAGAAAGTTATGTTCTGTAAAATGCGTTTAGTTCCACATCATCAAATTTAGACTTTAAATATGAGTCTTCTTGGAGCTATATCCACTACATTTGTAGGTGAAATGGAGCATCTTTGACATTACACTTACAACGATTTGAAAGTGCTATCCATATTTTTAAAATCGGAAAATCGATCAGTATAGTGCTCGAAGAGTAGTTTCAATTCTTTAGCATAACGCCCCTATTCAATATTTTCGTGACTGGATAATGATGAAAAATAAAAACAGTTTTTACTTCTCATTTGTGTTTTCGACAAGCGAATTTTGTTTTGAAAAGCTATAAGATGACTGTTTAACTGATTTACCAATTGCTCTTGTTTTTTACGCTTCAATTTCAGGTCGTTTAAGTGTCCTTTAATGTCTACCAGGGATGCCAAGTCACAAAGCCAAGTTAGATCATAAATTTGCGGCAATGCTTCCTCTTTCATTTTCATAAAATTAGCTATTTCTATTCTAAGGCAGAACATCTTTTTAGCATTTTAACTTTGCTTGGACACCTTACTTCGTAATAATATGACACATCATTGTGTTCTGAAGAAAATTCTTTCAAAAATGCTTTAAATTGACGACGGTTGAAACCGTTATATTTAATGAAATCAATGGTATTTACTACCATATCCATAACATTCTTTAATCGAATGGACTTAGAGCATAAGTTTTGTTGGTGAATAATGCAATGCAGAATTATTAAATCACATTTTTGCACATTGTTAGCGGTTGCTCTTTTCTTCAGAATTTCTATAAAACCTTCTTGTGAACTGACCTTTAAAGGCGTACCATCCGTGCACACTCCAACTAATTTACACCACTGAAAACCATATTACTTAAAAGTAGTTTGCACCTCGGCAAAACTATCTTTTCCAGTAGTGGTCCCTTGTAGCGGCCGTAAACTCAGTAGTTCCTGTGTCACTGCAACTTCTTCAACACCTCGTATAAAAATAGCTAACTGGGTTGTGTCAGATAAATCTGTACTCTCATCCAAAGCAATCGAAAATACTTGAAATCCAGCTAATATATTAGTCAATTTTTTTTTGATTGCTCGAGCAATCATATCTATATGTCGAATAACAGTACGTCGCGATAATCACATTTTCTCAAACTCATTCTTATTTTCTGGGCACAAAAGTTGTGCAACGTCTACTAGGCACTCTTTAACAAACTGTCCCTCTGAAAATAGCTTCGATGTTTTCTCTATTTTGGAACTAATTATAAAACTAGCTTTAACAACACTGGAGATTTGATTTTTGTGAATCACACTTTCTCAAACTCATTCTTATTTTCTGGGCACAAAAGTTGTGCAACGTCTACTAGGCACTCTTTAACAAACTGTCCCTCTGAAAATAGCTTCGATGTTTTCTCTATTTTGGAACTAATTATAAAACTAGTTTTAACAACACTGGAGATTTGATTTTTGTGAATGGAACATCTGTTTCTCTGTTCCTCTATATCAGTGATAAGTTTTTGATTTTATTCTTTCTTAACTGGCCCGTGAGTGAATTATACTGAGCAAAATGCTTGCTGGAGTAATGTCGATTGATGTTGTATTATTTTAAGACAAAAATTATTTCATTACACAACAAACACATAGGTCTACCAATGTGCAAGATAAAAAAGTCCGTTTGTCTTGAACTTTCTGTGTCCACAATTCGCTTTTTTGCTTAAATATTTCCCGCGTCGTACTCTCGATCATACGTGAACATGCGATGTGAACTTTATCAGTTGAAGTAATGAGGTGACACGTGCTGAGCCGTTTATATAATATATAATCAGCTCAGGGCGCGTTATACTCGTATTATAACCCCTAATAAACAACTAGAATACTCTTAAGCGCATCGGGTGACTTCCTGTTTGTTTTTTTCTAACGACTGTTTTTAACACAAATCTGTAGCATTCCACTGCGTACGCTTATTAATATTATTTATCGATTTAAGTCATTATGAGTTAAAGAATACAGTAGCGTTTCATTTCGTATGCTTAATACAATTACAAATAAACTCTGTGTGGTATAGAGGTAGCTAGTGCAATTCATTTAAAAAAATTATATTGTAGTTTTTATTAGTTCTTACCTTTTTATTTATTTGAAAAAATAGGTGATGTTTCAATATTTCAATTTTGGCTCTTTTACATTCATTCTGGTACGTAAAAATAAGATTTTAACACCATTTTAAACATTACGCTAAAAGCCAATCCTTTTTAAATGGGGGTTTTATTACGCAAATATGCTAAAATTAAAAATGCCCCTACATATGCTGCATTATTTTAAAGTAATTTGTGTCATTGATTTTGATACACATAATATATAGACGTGCATAGAGGCAATAAATAAATTGCTAAGAAAAACTAAATTAAAATTAAAATAATATTGAGGGGCTCTTTCGTAGAATCGGGACTTTCGGATCCAACTATAGCAGCTTCAAACCATGTCGGTTCTAATGCATAGTTAGGATTCCCCAATCCCACTCTGTCATTCACTATTGGGTTCTAATTAATAGTGCATAGATAAATTAATATGCAAGATAAATCGATTACATGCACGCCACTGGTAAGAAGTTTTAGTTCCCCAGCATACTATTTGGGAGCCACCATCGCACATTACACAATTGGCTGATTGGCTTGGCAGCAGAGAAGAAGAAAATAAAAGAAGAGTGTCTAGTTTTCCCGCGGTTCATTCAAATGTGCTTTATTATTTATTTACATTTTTTGGAATTCATTACTTAAAAAAAACTAATATTTAAATTAAAATATTGTATTTTATATAAATATTAGTTTTTTAAAGTAATAAAACAACAAAAAACATAAATAAAGCAATATATATACTAAAATACTTGAAACACAGGTATAGTTTAATCATTTAATACAAGTAAGGTGCATTTAAACGTTTATTGCATACAAGTAGTTTCCTCCCATTCTTGGAAAATGAACCAATTTTTGATGCAGTTGTGAGATGTTTCCTCCTATAAAAACAAAAAGTGTACATACCTTATTGAACAATTTCTCTTATCAAAATGTTGCCAATTATTATAAGTACAAGTTAATTTTAATTAGTCTAAAATTAGTTTATAAAAAAAAATATTTCTCATAGTGCAATAGTTAATTTGAATTTTATTTTAACTTTAAAACAAATCATCTGTTCTAGTTCATCTTACAAATTAGAGTTTGAAAATTACTTTTGCTTTTTGACAGACAACAAAAGAATATCTTTTAAATTCTGTAATAATAATCATTGAAGTTTGCAAGTTCTCTCACCAAGGCAACGTTTCAATCCAAGAGGAGGAAAAATTTAAACTTCTTAACTATTAATTATATTGAAATTTATAAAAATAGAAGTTAAGTTAACAATCAAATTATTTAGTAAAGGTTTACTGCAATTAAGAAAAATATAGCTTAATTTATTAATCTCTTTAACAAGCAAAATTGTTATAAATAAAAAATTGAGAATTTGTTAGTACTTACCAACTTTAGCCAGTAAATGAAGAGCAGTAACTCCGAAGTTTGAAAAATCTTCTTTCGAGAATTTGCTTTTTGTTTACTGTTGCCCGTATCCCACCACGAGGAGGTAAAGTAGTGGACTTACACACTAAGGATGCTTTTTTATATTATTTTTTTCTGAAAAAGATCACAGTTAACAAACAGTACGATCTCTATATAATATACAAATAAAACTGGTACAGAATTTACATTTAGTCGTTTACGTTTTATGGCAATTTTGCTAAAAGACTCTGGCAAAAAATGATAATAATAATAATAATAATACTCTCCCTAATTCACCCCCTTACGAGTGAATTTTAACCCCAAAAGCTGAGCTTGTCCGGGGAAAACATAGCGAGTTGTATTATCAAAAGTTAAATTTAAATTCTCAAACCAGTTCTGTCGAATTTTAACATCAGAAGAAAAATTAAAAAGGCTTTATTTGATTAACCAGCTTGCTGAATATTAGAATACTTATTTAAACAATTAGCAGCTGAACAAGAATACTTAGCTTTAGCATTCGATCCCTTACCCGGGTCAGACATGTTTTGATATTGTTACAAATATATTAAAAAAAGAATTGAAAATAAATTCAAAATTAAATTACATATATTTGGTTAAGGCTTAGATAAACAAAGTCCTTAAACAAATCTAACACCTAATATTAAATTAAATTGTTAATACTTACTAATTACATCAAATTATCACTTATAAATCTTCTTAACCTAAAAATAACTTACCTGCCTATGGAACTTACATCATAAAATAACTTTTATTTATTTATATTTATTGTAATTTGCCCATTTCACCTTCCGCCTGCCATTCCGTTTTTCATTTTTAAAAGATTGTCAAACCTCTCTCTAAAATATCCCATAAATAGTATGCAATAGTATGCCATTGTATGGATGGTATTAAGCTTGACAAAAAACAAAATAAGGTGTATGAAATAATTCTAATCTCATGAAAGTTTATGGAAACTGACAACATCGCTTTCATCTTATTTCGATGGTGGCTCCAAATAGTATGCTGAGGAACTAAACTCCTAAACACTTGTTACCAGTGCCCTGCATTTAAACGAGTTATATTTCATATTAATTTATCTATATAATAGTGCGGTTCCTGAAGTGGCGCTGGAAACAACAAAATCTAAACAGAACACGAGGCTAATAACCTTGATAGTTGATGCCGATAAAAGCGCATTAAACAAACTCTTTAGTTTAATGAGTAGTTGTTTTCCGGAGGGAAACAGTCACAATATTATACAAATTAATTTACATAGAAAACTATTGTAAATATCCACAAATATAATAATACAAAGAAAAATAAAAATACTGCATAAAATACTTATACATATAATTTAATAGTTTTCAATCTAACATGAGATTACAAATTTTGTATGAGATATTTGTATATTTTTGCGCCACGCCCTAATTCAGATAGATAGATGTTTTTGCGCATACTTTGTAGGAATCTATGCTAGCGCGTAATACCTATTTCACGCATTTGCACCATACATTAACTATATACTACTTAAAACCAAAAAGGAGCCACTTCTGTCTTTTGTGAACTCTTGTTTGGGCTGCTGATTATAACATAAAGTTATTCTTGTGTCAATTCATAAACAGTAGCCTATGTTCTATTCCAGACTATAATCCATATATGTGCTAAATATCATCCAGATCTGTTAAACCGTTCTGGTGTGATTGAGCAATAAACATCCATCCATCCAAACTTTCGCATTTATAGAGTTTTTTTAAAACTTAAAGGCGATTCTCTTTTTTTTTGTTTCTCTTCTTATTATTATAGCTTTATAGTATTTTATGGTAGTAAAACAGATTTTGGCCCGTAAACAGATCAAACTACTTCTTAACTTACCTAAACTAATCAATTTTTAAAATTCATCTTGATCTAATCACATTATAACCTAACTAACATCAGTATAATTCATTTTAAAATAACT